GAAATCACAATGGATAACTCCAGAAATTAGAAAACTAATTTTTAAACGAGATAGACTTCTTCGCCAACTACAGGCCTGCTGGTCGACTGAAACGCATGTCAATTATAAAATCATTCGCAATAAAGTAAATGCCTTGCTGCGATTAGAGAAACGGAACTTTTATACTAAAAAAGTGGAAAAGGTGACTAACAGTAAAGATTTATTTAAGATTTTTAAAAATGTAGGAATAGGAAAGACCGGGAATAACACAACGACACATATTGATGCGAATAAATTGAATACTTTTTTCTGTAACATTGGGTCGAAAATTGCATCGCAAATACCTTACTCATCAGTACCGATATGTAGATCGCCAAAACAAGTGCAATCAATGGTAATGTTTGAAACTAACCACAGAGAAGTTCTAGATGTTATCAATAGCCTTAAAAGCAAGTTCTCATGTGGACCTGATGATATTTGCAATGAAATCATCAGGCAGTTAGGAGTGGTAATTGCACCATTAATATCCGATATTTTTAACGAATGCATTCACCTTGATGTTTTCCCAGACTTACTGAAAATTGCCAAAGTGGTCCCTATGTTCAAAGATGGAGATAAAACAGATCCTGGTAATTACAGACCAATTTCGCTGTTGTCTTGCCTGAGCAAAGTCGTTGAGAAACTTATACATTCGAGGTTCATAAATTTTTTTGAGAAATTTTCTATTTTAAACATTAACCAATATGGTTTTCGATCTAAGCGATCTACGATTCCACCTGTTGCGAGGCTGACCGAATTTGTAAGAGATGCTACTAATAAAAGAGCGGATGCAATTGCTTTGTTTTTGGATCTCAAGAAAGCTTTTGACACGATTGATCACAATATTCTGATGCAAAAATTGGATCATTATGGGATCAGGGGTAAAAGTAACAATTTGATTAGAGCCTACTTGACTAATAGAAAGCAGTATGTTGAAATTGGAAATAATAGATCAACGCTTGAAAATGTTTCAACGGGAGTTCCACAAGGATCTGTTCTAGGTCCGCTTCTGTTTTTGATTTACATAAATGATTTACCTGATAGCACTAGTTTAGATACTACACTTTTTGCAGATGATACATCCATCATGACTTCTGGTAAGAATTCTGGAAGGAAATTAAGAACCGAATTTGACATAGTTTACAATTACTTATGTTGCAATAAACTTTCACTGAATACTGATAAAACTGTTCTGCTCAATTTCAGCAAGAAAAATGGAGAAATTGGTCTTGATATAAAAGGTGAATGCATAAAAATGGTTGATTGCACGAAGTATTTGGGTATCTACATTGATTCAAAGTTAGACTTCAAGATGCATATTGAACATGTTATTAAGAAATTGTCTAAACTGTGTGGAGTAATATATCGTTCCAGAAAATTATTTAATATTCCAATGCTTCTACTGATATACAGATCCTACATCAAACCTGTTCTTCAATATGGCGTATTGGTTTATGGCTGTGCAAACTTAACAGATCTAAATAAAATTTAGATACAGAAGAGAACAATACGTGCTATTTTTAGAATTGATTATAGAGAGAGCACAGTTGAAAAGTACAGACTGCATAAAATTGAAACGGTGTTTGATCTTCACGTTTACGAACTGTTTAAAGATATTTGCTACAATAATGTTTGTGATAGTACCACGACTAATAACGTGGCGTACTTCACTAGGAGAGTTGCTTCTGGAAAAGTTAATAGTAAAATACAAAGAACGAAATGTTTTCAAAATTCCATAAATGTTAGAAGAACCATTATTCATAATTATATAACTGCATCTGGTTTATTGAATGAAGATGTGACAAGTTTGCAGAGACATCAACTCAAGATTTTTATACACGATGTTTTTGATAATTATCTGCTTGATAATAAAGAAGTTCATAAACAGCTGTATTGTCATTGATATTTGAGTTTAAGGTTGTCTACTAGATAAGCCGTAGGCTTTTTAGACAATCCTTGTTGATGATTGTAAATATACATATTGTATTGTAATAATCATCAACTGAATTAAATATTATTATTATTATTATTATTATTAAACCTCCCAACGCTGTTTTCCCCTCATACTTGAGTAGTATCAAACTATGCTGTCAGATATAAAATATAAAGTATAAGATATATATCAGGAAGAGTAGTGGACTAATCACACACCACTGGGGGAGTCCATGTGATATTCCACCTGTGACATAAGTAGCCTGTGACATGAGTAGCCCCGAAACCAGTCATTGCATACCACCTCTTATTCCATAGTTTTCTAATTTAACCAACAGAACATAATGATCTATTGTGTCAAACGTTTCTGTGAGATGCTACACGTCATTTCATTTTCTTTCCAAATCGGAGTTGTCCTCTTAATTCGACTAAAGCATCGATCGTATTGTATTTTTTTCTGAATCGAGGTAGAAAATGTTTAATAGGGTCAGATAGTTGTATAAGCTGGAATGTTTTAGTGTTTGAAGATGATACGGCGGCAATTTAGCCAAGGACTTAGATTATATTTATTTTCATTTGTTTTACTGCTCTCTTTGTAAAGTTGTAGGATGAGTGCAGCCAGTATTTAGACAACCGCGTATTCATACTCGTTAGTATTAAGACAAATACTGTATGAACCAATCAGAATCGAGAAAAGACATAAATAATCCAAAATAAATAATAATTATTTATTAATTTCTTCTTTGTCTCGATTCTGATTGGTTGAAACAGTATTTGTCTAAATACTGACCAGTCTGAATACGCGGTTGTCTAAATACTGATATGTAACCGTTGTAGGACTATAGAGCTTTTAAGAATCTCTGGATTTTTTATTTTCAATGACAGACTTATTAAGTTGGTTGGATATGGTGTAATTACGTGCGAGACTGTTCCGTTTTGATGTGGCTTATTTCGCCGACTTTTGTTGATTGCTTTGCATTTAGATTGTCAATCATCTCTAAAGTTTCGAACACTGCGGTATTGTACAGAAACATTGATTGTGGATTGTTATTCATCAAAAAACAAAATTTCTATCTAACTTACCTTTTTAGAGCATACACGTTCAAGGGCGAATAGTTCTAACACGCTTTAATTCACTTTTTTCTCTAAAAGTTTAATCTCGAAAAGTTTGCACGGTGGTATTCGTGCTGTTTGAATGTAAATGTTATCAGGCAATGCTCTGCAATTGAATGCTGTTTTACTTAAGGTTCTGGCATGTTTTTATAAATGAAATGATCAATACATGTGCCTGATTGTGAAGTGATTCGAGTTAGGTTACTCACTGGTGACAAGGAAGCCTTTTGCTTCTATAATATTGAGTTAGCAATTAACAAGGCTAGTTTTTTTGTAAAGTATTGATGATAAAGTCACCACCAATTTGCCAGGACCATTATGCCTAGATAGCACCTCAAGAATTTTATAATTTTTTGAGTAAATAAAATATGTCTCTACGTGTTCTTAGATATGTAACAATTGTTATAATCCGACATTATGCCTAGATAGCACATCAAGAATTTATAATTTTTTGAGTAAATAAAATATGTCTCTACGTGTTCTTAGATATGTAACAGTTGTTATAATCCGACATTATGCCTAGATAGCACCTCAAGAATTTATAGTTTTTTGAGTAAATAAAATATGTCTTTACGTGTTCTTAGATATGTAACAATTGTTATAATCCGACATTATGCCTAGATAGCACCTCAAGAATTTTATAATTTTTTGAGTAAATAAAATATGTCTCCACGTGTTCTTAGATATGTAACAGTTGTTATAATCCGACATTATGCCTAGATAGCACCTCTAGAATTTATAATTTTTTGAGTAAATAAAATATGTCTCTACGTGTTCTTAGATATGTAACAGTTGTTATAATCCGACATTATGCCTAGATAGCACCTCAAGAATTTTATAATTTTTTGAGTAAATAAAATATGTCTCTACGTGTTCTTAGATATGTAACAATTGTTATAATCCGACATTATGCCTAGATAGCACCTCAAGAATTTTATAATTTTTTTGAGTAAATAAAATATGTCTCTACGTGTTCTTAGATATGTAACAGTTGTTATAATCCGACATTATGCCTAGATAGCACCTCAAGAATTTTATAATTTTTTGAGTAAATAAAATATGTCTCTACGTGTTCTTAGATATGTAAGAATTGTTATAATCCGACATTATGCCTAGATAGCACCTCAAGAATTTATAATTTTTTGAGTAAATAAAATATGTCTCTACGTGGTCTTAGATATGTAACAATTGTTATAAACCGAGCATTTGCTTGTTGTACCAAAACAGCTGTCATTTTTCGCAGGCCATTCTTAAGCTCTTGAATGAAAAATTTTTCAGATTCAAGCTGAATCATCGAGCTACCATCTTTATTTTCTAATTTTTTTCTCTGCAAAATCAGATAATTTTTGTGGTAAAAAAAATTTTTTGTTCTTCAGTGAACCAAGTTTCTGTATTAAGTATAACTTTTGGAGACTCGATACATCGTACTTACCTTCGTCCTTGTTTTGTGTGCATAACGTAGTCTTGGATACACTAATGTTGGTTTTTTGTTCCTTTTTGTTACTATATTTTTTATGGCATGTTTATGAATGTCTTGATCATTATCTGATAATGTAAAGTTTCAATTCTTAAAAAAATCATCGTTGAAATCGTTTGCCAAAATTTAAACGTTTTTTTTTTTCGTTATATCATTTTTGTAAGACAGCTCTAAGACAATTCATGTCGTTTTCTAAGCTTTGTAAATGCAAGACCGTCAAACCTTTCGTGACTCTTTCTTCGAAAAAACCAATGTCTTTGTCACTTGCGTTCGGTTAGGAACACAGCCCGAAAAATATAGGAAAATATAAATATAATATAATAAACTAATTTTTTGGTTAATGGAAAAGTACTTAACATAATTTATATGGAAATTGTATGATACGAAGTTTTGGTCAACCTGGATCTCTACTTTTTCGATGATTTCCTCCAACGTGTTAATGATCGGCTCATTGTCAGCGGGACTGAGTACCACGCACCTCCTCTTGTTTTCTGATTTCGCATTAAGTGTCTGGTCTTGAAATTTTAGAGTGAACGGATGATGAGTTTCGGCATCATTTTGAACATGAGAATGATCTTCCTCCATTATTAGTCTCCGAACTAATTAATAATTTTACCACAATAATTTTGCTTGTCTCGGAAGTCCTGCAAACGATTTTGTTGCATTGAAAGTGTTCATCTTTCCCTGTTTGGCTGTCAAAGAAAAAACTCTCCTGACGTGGTGACTCTTTTTTGGTCTACAGTCTGTGCTGAATAATATTAATATTTGCATTACAATGAAACAGCTCCACGTCATTTGAATTGAATACTCAAAGAATCAATGCAATCAGGTTGGAAAGACACTCTTGTGAGCATGAGAGTATAACACTCGTTATCTGATTAATTTGCATCCTTCTATCAGCCCATCATGTTATGTTTGATTGGGTGAGCTAGATGGTTGTGAAGCATTAGAAGTATTTTGAGATCACTTGTCTTTTTCAACCTTGTCGACCTCTCACTTCGCTTACAATCTAATCTGTCCAGTTGGTCTCTTCACTTTCAGACTATTACTCAACTGAATGCATGCAGCGTAGAATGTCATCACTGCTGGCCCACAGCCTCCGGTCTGGACGGATCAAGGCAGTCCTGTGTGATATCCACGGAGTCCTGTTTGACAATGACGAAGGTAAGGAACAGACTACTCACATTTCTAATGAATACTTTTCACTCAAACTTTGAAGTCATGCAATTGTTTCTCTAAGTGCAATCTGCATGTTTTCCTCCAAAGTTAACCACCTTCTCCAGCTTTTGATAAATATTCTCTCGTTTTATTCGGCCTGGCGTTCTCGTCCGTTTTCTCATTAGTTTTCTTTTTTGGCCCTGAGCAGATTATTGATATAGAATGACTCAAACTGTAATACAGTCCACTTTTTTTTCTGAGACTTTGATTGGTGCTCCTTGTGCAACTTGTTTGCATTGAGTCTCAATTGTGAAGTGGGTGCAATTGAACACTGCCGCAGGTAAGACATACCCGGTGCCTGGATCGGTGGCCGCATTCAACTGTCTCGTGTCCAGGGGTGTGCCAGTGAGACTGGTCAGCAATGAGAGTGCGTGTCCGCCTGAAGCTGTGCTCAAACATTGCATCCAGGCGGGACTACAAGTGACATTAGACCAGATATTTGTGACGACGCCAGCTGCTTATAAAATCATCTCAGACAGAAAACTGCGGTGAGTGTTTCATTTGATTCTTTAATCACCAGATAAACAAGCACATCGGACCTCAATTATCCATTTAATTTGCCATCATAAGAGATGCATCTAGTCTAGTATATTTAGTTCATGCACATAGTGAACATTTTAAGAAGAAAAAGGAGTTATTTCTCATCGTATCAAAATACAATTCACTTATTCAAGTTTCATCATAAAAAAGAAGCATAATAACAGTAATGTGAAACTAAAAGTGGACAGCTGACAAAATCATTGGGGTTACTGGATGTTGCGCTAGGGTAAAACACATGAAACATTAATGTAAGTATAATTTATAACGAAAAAAAGAGGAAAAGTAAAATAAACAAACCTTCTATTACAACTTGTTTTTGTCAAATTGTTCATAAGTAAGCGATCTTCTGACATTACGACTAGAGCCTTTGAACCATGGGGAGTTATTGTTCCAATTTTCAAAGAAAGTGCGGAATATTTGTTTGAGGTGGTTTTTTTATTCAGTCAATTTTCGACTTTTAACAGCATTTTTGTCGGAGTTGTTTTATACCATCTGAAATTGCTTTCTTGAGCTCAAAGTTAAAAAGACAGTCATTTATTTTGTAAAGTTATGGGAGTTTGAAAATTGTTAATTTGGCCAGTTTGGGATAGTTAACGCGCGATATATTCTTATAACTCGCGTAATCTGCAGATTAATGCGTTCTAATTTCAATTGACGCAAGTCATTTGGTCCTTTTTTGGGATCCAAAATGTTAAATACAACCCGTTGTAGTTTACATTAGCTTGTGAGGATTTAATTTAGAAACGAAAAAAACTTTTGAATTTTTGTCAATTATATTATTTCGTCGAAAAATTTAAGTTGACATTAAAGTGCAGGCGCAACAATCATTCAGGGCTTCGCCCACGAGCAGTCTTGTTTTTTCCAGTTTTTTAATTCTAAGTCGAGCGCAGGTATTTTTTGCTACAAAAACGGTTTTGGACGTTGAAGTTATGAAAACTCGCTAGTCATAGCTTCTAGCCGGTTCAATTACAAAACTGGAAGTTGTTAACTTGGCTTTTACTGCGTCTACTAACTGTCCTTCATCCCTTAGAGTTCCCGTAACATAAATTGAGTTGATTGGGGGCTAAATGGCCAGTATAGATTCAACTGAACTTATGCAGCAGTAACCAGTTAACAAATCCAAATATGGTTTTCTAGTCGCATCGAGCGGCTAGAAAACCAAAAACTTGAGGACAGAAAATAAAAGGATAAGCTTGTTGTGAGGATAATATTACTGCATATAGTTATTTAGGTGATGTCAATTATATGGCAGACAAGTTTAATTTGATCTTCATTTTTTAAGTATATTAAGTCTCTTAAATTATTAATTATGTCGCCTCTTTTTTGTTCCAGAAAAAAAAAATGTTTTTGTCTACCCTTTATGTGAATTTGTTTAATAGCAAATCAAATATTCGTAGCACGTTTGTTTATCATACTTACATCAGAATATCACCCATTTCGCTATGAAAACAAGTGATACGTTACTGTTTTTGAGGCCTTTTGTGCTGGTAAATAAAGAGGTGGAGCAATTCTTCAGCAGTCTAGACCAGACGAACCCAAACTGTGTGCTGTTAGGAGACGCCATCGAGAACTTCCACTACGAATCACTGAACAAAGCATTCAGGTATACTAATGATGACACGTGGCGAGTAAACTCAAGGATATAGAGAGGGTTATGAAGTTTAAAAACGAAAAAAGCTGCTTTGAATAATGACATAATCACTTAAGACGAATTCTCCCCAAGGAAAAGGAAAAAGTAGTGCTTCTCGGCTCTTAATGGATAACCGCTGTTGTTATCCTGTTTAAAAATTACATGTTATTTTTTCTAAAGCATATGCCTAATTATGAAGCCGCACTAAATCATCCTTTTTGAACAAAGCCTGGGATGATTTTTTTTCTAACTCTGCCAGCTAGGCGCTTTATTGTTAAAAACTATCTATATACGCAGCCTGTTCTGTTTTCTGAGAGTTATTCAGAATATTCTCCGTGTATTTTTGCCGAGAATATGAGAATAGAAGCAACCAAAGCGTGACAATGAACAAATCTGTTGCTGTTTCAGAATCCTGATGTCGAATCCAGATGCCCAACTGATCTCTCTCGGAGTGGGTAAATACTACAGGAAAGGTGGATCCGGTGAGCTCAGCTTAGACGTGGGACCCTTCACCAAGGCACTGGAGTTTGCGACCGGCAAACAAGCCCAAATTATTGGAAAGCCCTCCAAGGCATACTTTGAAGCGGCGCTCAATGTGAGTTTCAAATTAAAATGTATTGCAATTTATCAAATAGTATTTGAGACAATTTATAAGTTAAATCCCGAAAATTTTTATATGCGTCCTAGCGATGATTTTTTATTTGATAAAATTGCCTGACCATGTTATTTGGGCCCACAGTAGTCAATTAGGTTCCTTAAAATTTAATTACTTACTAAATGTGTAAAAGTATGGACATTAGAAGCGAAGCGTAGTGTAAGACTACTTACAAGTTTTTTCCTGAGTCGCAAATAAAAATTTCGTTGTTTTTTGGAGTGATCCAATCATAGGCACTTTAATATCAGCTACTGCTGTCTTAGTGCGGGCTATCGTTAGGTCTCGTTTAATAAAAACTACTTTTATGAAATGTATGTGATTGTTTTTTTTTGTAATTAAATAATTTTTTCATAATCATTTTTCACAAAACGCGTTTGCTCAATATCCAAAAAGATATTAATTGACAGAAAGGTTAATTCTCTAAATGAAAATGTAGAATGTGGAGTAAGCTAAAAAAGACTAGCTGAATATGCATATTTAGCTAGTCTTTTTTTAGTTTACTCCACATTCTACGGGCCTCAAAAGTATCAGTAGGGAAATTTTTGACCCAATTTTTTTGGATTTTTTTTCCTCAAAAACTACCCTGCCAAATCTGCGGTAAAGAAATCTTTGGATGGACAAAATATTGAGTCTCCCTTGCGTTAGCGGTTATGCCCAAGTTTTTTTTAGAAAAAGTTCTGAACTCATAAATGCTCATTTTTTGACATTTTCGTCGTTTTTTTACCCTTGGGATTACCAAAAGTGTTGCAAACGGTACTACACTTTTTTACCGTAAAATAATTTTGTTCACTGGACTCCTGGTGGTACCTTGGCTTATAATGAATTCAAAACTCTTAGTTTCTCTTACAAACTTAGCCTAGAGGTAACGAATACGCCTGGGACGACAAAAGCCATGGATGCGAATGTGACTAAGACTTGTTTTTTCAAACGGTAAATATTCCAGCTCAAAAACTTTTGGCCTATTATTTGTCTGCTTATTTTTGTCGGCATAGTTCCCGTAGCCCGAATTTTTTAAGGTTTAGATTTCTTCCAAGTTGATGTCTCCTCTATGCTTGACGGCAAAGTCCGGGAGTTCGATTCCAGTCGAGACCTGTTTGTTTTGCAAATTGAAAGTTTTTGGTTAATTTTGTCTATTGTCGGTCTTCTTATTTTTGTCGACTTAGCTCCGCAGAAATATTTTGTTTAAAAAAATTGTTTTTTTTTTCTAATTTTCCGAAAGCTGTTTGTAAAGTTTCTAATGATGCAGGCAATTTTTATTCCACTATTTTGGGCTTTTGTTGCATTTTTTCCGTTAGATTTTTGTCATAGTCATTCATATTTGTTTCATAAGTGGTTGGAAGCTCAGCTTCGCCTCTGTGTAAAATAATTCTTTGAATTTTTGCAATATTCCCCGTCAAATTTGAGATTAAGAGCTCAATCAAAACAAGAAATTCTGGGTATTTGCCCTGCTGAAACTTGTACGCCCTAATTCTTTGTAGAAAAAGAGATATGGCCTTAGAAAACGTCCTAATTTTGACCATTTTTTTGCTTTTTTTCGAAAAATACCCTGTCAATTCCAAGACGAAAGGCTCAATCGCAAAAAACTAGTGTTAGAAATCCTCCTTGTTTATACCGCCACCCTTAAGATTTTGTAGAAAAAGTTATGGCCATATAAATTGTCCAATTTGGAATTTTTTGACTGTTGTCCAAAACTACCCTGCCAAATCTGAGTTAAAAGTTCAATAGAAAGAACAGGTTTTATGAATCTCCTCTGCACAAATAGTGCCCTTATGTTTTGATGAAAAAAGTTATTGCATGAGATGAAGTACAATTTTCGAAAGTTAGAAAAATCTGAGGTTAAGGTGTTTATCCGAAACATCATTTAGTCGGAAATTTCTTTGCATAAGTAGCTACGCGCTCAGATTTTTCTAGAAATTAGTTTATGGACTGAAACAAGTGTATGTTTGAAGTTTGACCGTTTGTTTCGAAGTCTTGTAAAAAACTATTTTGCTAAATCTGAGATAAAGAATTCAATCAAAAGAGCTGCTACGGGAATTTTTCTCTGCATATCAACTATGCCCTAACTATTGTGGAAAAGCAAGGTTGAATTTAGAAATCTCCGTGTTTTGAATTGCTGGCCGCTTTTTGGAAATATTTTTCATTTTTCTGGAAAATTACTTTGCCATTTCTAAGGAGACTTAGATATGGCAGAATCATTTTCGAGAAAAGTAAAAAAAGTTTCCAAAACCATATTTGAGGATTCAATTGAAATAGCATGCATTAGGATACTTCTTCGCATAGCGGCTAGGACCTAATTTTTGTAGAAAAGCAATGTTTATCTATCCAAAGTTCATTTTTTAAATTTTGATTATTTTGGAATTTGATTTTCTCGATAATAAGGTGCCAAATAAAAAAAATTCACCAAATTAGCTAAGGACTTGTTTTATGCTAAATTTTAAACATTTTGAAAATTACGCATTACCTTTTGCATCAGTGAATTTAAAAAAACGTATTAAACAGGTAGCTTTAGCTGAGCGCCTAGTGTTTGTATTGTTAAGAGGCCATGGCGCAGATGCTAGAATGTGTGTTTTTTTAAATCTGGTAATCTGACGTTCGATTCCGAATTTTTTTGTTAGTTTTATCTTTCTTTGTCAATTTTGGGTGCTTTTAGAGCTTCTTTTTGCCCTTTTTCTTGCTTCTGTTAGCGAAGTGCAATTTCGTCTCTGTGTTGACATTCATATTAGCTCGTTTCAGTTGTGTTCTTTTATCAAAATAATAGCGGGACCGATCATTAATTCCACTTTCTTGGGCCACCGGTGTCATGTTTGGCGAATAGCTGTGTTTGATTTGGCTCTCGTCTTGCTTTTGTTGGTTGCTCTTCAAACAGTTGTGTTCACTTTGTGTGATCTCTTTGGTCAGGATGTGGGAGTGAAGGCTTCGGAGGCGCTGATGATCGGAGATGACATCGTGAACGACGTGGGAGGAGGACAGAGTGCTGGAATGCAGGCCACTCTCGTTCGCACGGGCAAGTACACGCCATCAGACGAGCACCATGCACAAGTGAAACCGGATCTCATCGTAGACAACTTCGCATCTTTTGTCCATTTCATTACACAACATCTCAACTGAGATCGTTCATCAAACAGTTGTGCTAAATCGCAAATTGTTGGCTATATTGTTGACCTTGAGCTCTTAAAACGCTCAGCAAATTTTACTTCCTTTTTTATTTGGGTTTTTGCAAATGAGACGTCTGATGGGCAGTTTTGCCCCGAGGCACTGCTTCGAAAAGAACATTGCCGACAGTTTATATTAATTATAAAATGAGCAGAATCATCAGAAAAGCGTATAATGACTTGATTGTCGTTTTTAATGGACTGTCTGTAAAAAGTTCGTCTCTTATTAAGCTTTTTACTATTGCCTTCTATAGTTGTTTTTTGATTTGCAGAATGAAACTTAAGTTGATGAATTTTATTGTTGATTTAAGATTTCAAATCAAATTTAAGATTTATGATTTCAAATAAAAGATTTCAAATAAAACTTTTTTGTTTTACAAACATATGCGTTCAGAGTTTTTGCGAGGTCGATTTTCTTGGTGGTACGACAGTTCTGTTTTTCTAAACTATTTCGCAAATATTGGCACCAATTTTGGTGGGACCTTTACGGCTTTTTGATAGCATGTTCTTTGACATTGGACTTGTAATGTGTTAACACAGTTGATGCATTTTTAATTCATCAAGTGAACAGAAAAAAACTATTTGTTTAAAACAACGTAACAATCATAAAAACTCGATTTCAAAATTTTTTAAAGGGTTTATATCACGCAATTTTTTTGAAATGCGTAATTTATACATAAGGTGATTTTATGCTTTCCAATTTATTTCATGCAAAGTTAGTGTGGATGCCCTGAGTGTTATATTCCAAATTATTACTTGCAAAATTTTGTCTATTTGTATTTGGTGTCACTGTTGCTGCATAGCATTGGCAATTTATTAGTATATGTAGCTGCTTTATTTGTGACTAGTGTTTGCCAATCATTAAGCGTTATTAAGCGAGAGGGCAGGACATGAGACTCTAGATCTCGAGGCTTATTTCTATTTTTCTTATTTCACTTACTACAGTTACTTTTTTGTCGTGTTCTGGCTAGTGTTTGCGAAGCGCAGCTTCGCCTCTGTCAAATGGTCGGAACAAAAACTGTTCTAAAAATGAATGGAAACTATGCGAAGTCGGAAGATCAGATAGACCTTACTCGTCATGTTGGTCGTCCGTTACGACATTTCCTTGCTCAGAAAAGACAGACTACATATGTCTCAAATCACAAACAAGAATCATTCGCAATAAAACTTTAAGAATAACAAAACAGCTCCTAGGTTGGATCTGATGTTCACCCATAGATTCGTTTGGTAACTAAAGATAACGACCAGAATTAATCGGAAGTCCAAATTTGACAGCCGCAGGTTTGACAGCTAGTATGGAGCTACTGAAGTGATACTGAGTCTACAGCTGAGTTTTTTTTAGATATCAGTTGATTTTTTATCGGCTTTATTGATTTCGTCCCAATTTTTGTCGACTTACTTGAAGGGTGTTTTATTCTGTCTGAATAGTTTTTTGGGACTTTGAAATACTTTTTTCTTCATTTTTGAGTGTTAGCTTCGTATAATTCATAATTCCTGGGTTTATTTACACGCTAAAATTTTCTGTACGAAAAGAGATTTTTTGAAATTTTTCGCGAGAAATTTTTTTGCATTGATTAATCATTTTTCAGATGCATGGTTTTTGATTTATTCTTGTTCTAAAACTTATTGGAACTAGTTTAGATCTAATCAGTTTGGTGCACTCTAGATTACAGTAGTATGCATATAGTGCGTTAGGATTGGGGGGGGGGGTTGTCATACATGGATGACCATTAGGTATAAATCATAATGGTCACCATGTATTAAATGATCAGCAATGGTCACCATGTATAATTTTATACCTAATGGTCACTATGTAATAATCCTAATTGTTACCATGTATAATTTTCTACCTAATAGTCCTCATGTAAAACTTCGGTATATTATTGAGTATTCCCACTGAACGTTTGTGGAAACAGGAATGGAATTAAGTTTTAGTCTGTGCATGTTTTCCCTTCGAAAGTTTGGGGGTATTGGCTTGTTTACATGTAAAATGACGTTATATACCTATTATATGCGACCAAACTATATGGTATATAGGACAGCACAATATTTTGGCAGCGTAGCTTAACTGTTGGCTGCGGTGAACGATTTCCTTCAAAAATGCATGTTTTTTTGCTGAATCTCGAAGAAACTAAAATTCATCAAGTGCGGCGGCCGCCACCTCTATTTAGGCAAAAATTAATAATCAGTTTGACCGAAATAAGAATGAAAAATTTCGTTCAGCCAAATGAAGGTAAAAACAAAGAAAAATTACGAAACACTGAAAACTCTAAAATAATGAAATTGGCTTGAAAATTTCGACATTTCCATTTTCCGTGTCTTCAGGAGACTGAAAAAAAACGTCTAAAATCTATGACAAAAGCTTTGATTTTACACAAAGAATGAAAGAGCTAATAAGTTAGAGTGGGTAAAGATCTTGAAAAACGAGAGAACATTGATGAAAGCCAAAAGTGCGCATTAATTTTGCTGCAGCCATTTCTAAGACTTGCATATACCACTTTTTATAATGAAAAGGAAACAATTTTCGGGGCTTCTAGAAAACGTTTAGTGTTTCCTATTAACTTTTTTAGGCTAACAGAAATTTTGAAAATATTCATCAAAGCGGACCTAGAAACTGGGGGAAAACTGTTATTTGTGTGCCAATATATACGACAGAACAGAGTGACCATCGAATAAAGCAGGTGAAAACTTATTTGCGACTTTTAAGGAAAGCAGTTATTCAAAATAGAGTTATTCAAAATTTTTAAGGAAAGCAGTTATTCAAAATTCAATCGGGAAAGACTGAACATAAACTAAGACAAGTTATGGATACAAACTCAAAACTTGAAATGAATTCGGAGCTATAATTTAAGCATCCAAAATTTTTGATTATTCCATCAAAAGAATATGCAATTAAATAATTTTTAATTTGATACTACAATCTAGTCAACTGTTCTCAGTATCTTCTAATTAACTCAATTTGGCTTTAGCAAGAGCTTTCTATTCAAAAGTTTGAAGCGCTATCAGTTATTATCATTGATTAACCCTCTGCTCAACAAATTAAATTTTGAGTTTTTAAAATATAAATCTGATCTTTTGAATGTTTCCATGATTACGCGACATGATTATTGTCTCTCAAAATACGGTGGCTTTTTGACCAAAATATTCGATTGTTCATCTGCAACTAATTGTGTTATCAAGAGTTCAACCTTTCTTTCCATATATGTTTGAGGTGATCCAAGCTTTCACATTCACGTTCTCATCACTAGCAGTATCAAAACAGTTCGCATCATGATATTTCTTCTCATTTTTGCATCGATATTTGTCTTCTCTTTCAACAAAACATGTCTTCGAAAAACGGTTAGTTGTTTGAAATTTTAAGATAAAAAATCAAGCCTTATCATCAACACTCTACCTGAATCTTCGGATTCCGTCAGGATGATAGCTGTTTTACACTAAACAACGCTTTCACATCATTTTGGCTACAGCAGTTTCCGTAAACTTGTAAGTGCAATTTTGTAGTTTCAATGCATTTCGATAAACGTCAATTATGTTGTGTTATCTTAAGCTTGTCCGCTTGATTGAGTGAATGAATACAAGCATATTTTTTCAACCAATGTATGTTTTAGGCAAGTACTTCTGCATATTCGTATATCAGTATGAAAGGCACGTTTATATGATTGTATGTAAAGACGTATGAATGCCAGTCTGTAATGGGTGATTCTTTTTGTCTGAATGTGTGATGTGAATGCAAGTTGGTTTGTGTGTTTACATGTGCTTGTATTTCAAAGGTCAGCAGAACTAATAAGTAAAATCTTTGCATGTATGTAAGCAAAACTTGCGTGTGTGTCTATTTATGTAAACTGTATGTATCTATGTAAAAGTGTACAATTTTTTGCATGTTTAAATGTAATTAATCATGTATGCACATACTATTTGTGTGTATTCATTTGAGTATTTAGAAGTTATGTATATTTGTATGTTTTATGTAAGTAAGAATTCTCGAATGCATGTCCGCTTGATTGAGTGAATGAAGACCAGCAATTATTTTGTATCAATGTATGTTTTTCAGTTTAAAAGCATTTAAAATTTGGCTGGTTTGCAAACCGTACAAACTTATGATTGAAGTTTTATGTCTGTTTAAAAGGAAAGTGTGTACACATGAGTAGTTGCATGCTCGTAAAGTACACTCCATGTCTTTTTGTAGGCAATTACTCATACATATTCGTATATGAGTATGAAAAGCACAATTATATGATTTTATTCAAAGACATATGAATGCCAGTCTGTAATGCGTGATTTTTTTTGTCTGAATGTGTGTATAAATTTGTCTTGAAAGTGTGAAGTGAATGCAAGTTGGTTTGTGTGTTTACATGTGCTTGTATTTTAAAGGTCAGTAGAACTAATAAGTTAAATCTTTGCATGTATGTAAGCAAAATTTGCGTGTGTGTCTATTTATGTAAACTGTATGTATCTATGTAAAAGTGTACAACTTTTTGCATGTATAAATGTAATTAATTATGTATGCACATACTCTTTGTGTGTATTCATTTGAGTATTTAGAAGTTATGTATATTTGTATGTTTTTATGTAAGTAAGAATTCTTGAATGCATGTCCGCTTGATTGAGTGAATGAAGACCAGCAATTTTTTTATGTCAATGTATGTTTTTCAGTTTAAAAGCATTTAAAAGTTAGCTTGTTTGCAAATTGTACAAACTTATGATTGAAGTTTTATGTCTGTTTAAAAGGAAAGTGTGTACACATGAGTCGTAGCATGCTTGTATAAAACGAACCATGTCTGTTTGTAGGTAAGTACTTGTGCATTTTCGTATATGAGTATGAAAGGCACGTTTATATGATCGTAAGTAAAGACGTATGAATGCCAGTCTGTAATGCCTGACTCTTTTTTGTCTGATGTGTGTATATATTTGTCTTGAAAGTGTGAAGTGAAAGTAAGCTGGTTTATGTGTTTAAATGTGGTTCTAATGTAAAGGTCAGCAGAAATATTAAGTTGAAATCTTTGCATGTGTAAGAGCAAAATTTTTGTATAATTGGTTGCAGATTTAAAAGCAT